ACCGTGTGTGTGTGTGTGTCAAACGGCGGGCTTTGTTCGCGCCTTGCTCCTGCTTGCGGTTGCTCTGCTCTACGGCGCCAACTACGAAGCGGCCAAATGTTCAACTAGTTTGGAGCTTATTGCATGCTCACGTTGGCTTTCTTGCATCATCATGCCCTGGGTGGTATCTTCGCCCTTTTGGCACACGCAGCGTCATGGCGTTCGTAGGCGACGCCTTGTTAGGGCGCACGCTTTCTGGAGATCGCGGCCAAGGTTTGCAAGAGAAGCAAAACAAACAAATGTTTGATGAACAAGGTCAAGCAACGGTGTTTGAGTGAAGGCAGAAGCTGACAAAGCAACAAGCAGGAAGCTGCAATTTAATAGAACCCGGCAAACAGGCAACGCAGAGGCCGCTGTACCCAAACAATCAAGCTTCAGGATAGAAAAAAATGGCTCAGGTTCAATCTGCTTTCCCCCGCACAATGGCCCAACCTTGGACCCCACTACTTGCGCGGTCTGCCCAGCATATGTGCTTTCGCGTTTTTTGGACTGCAAGCTCGTGTTCAAGCGCGCTGTTGCGAATTGCTACGATTGTTGCTCATTCGACTCCAATGGCGCCTCTCAGCTTGAATTGCCAAGTGAGGTTCACAACCTAGTCGTACTGCGACGGAAAGGGGGGGTCATAAGGGCCACCCGCGCGAGCAACACACGTGGCGGTGGAGAAGGCCGCGTGTGTCACGACTTAGCGCGTGCCGCTAATGAGGCAAGATATTTTATTCGCAAGGGTCGCGCGCAAGTTCTTTTTGAAAATGGCAAGTGCGTAAGGTTTGAACAAGACCTTTTGAACGCCGCTCAATTCCAATTACAGCAACGATGTGGAATTTGCGATTTGGAATGTGTTTGTGGCGTGGCAGATGTGGGAGCCCATATGTTCGAGGGAACTGGTTGATCCATTGCCTCCGGTGAGGTGGAAAGGGATTCGTGCCGCGGCATGTTGGAGGCTTGAGATTGCGTGGTTTTGAGGCTTTACAACTTTTGACGCTTCCGGAATGCTCGCGTTCGTCCACGGGCCCGGCGGGGGCGATCTGTGAGGTGTTTTCGTCTCCGCCAGTCATTTGGAGCCTCTTCTATATTGATCTCAGATTCCCAGTACTTAAATTAGCACTGCCCATTCTCCATTTAGTATTGCAAAGACGTATTCTCAGATTCCCAGATCAGGATTGTCTAAAGACTCACCCCCCGCACAACAAAAGCAACTTACCATTCACGAGACCCTGAAACAGCCAGATTTCAAGCGGATCAAGAGTTCTCGCGTGGCACCGCACCCCCTTGGTGTGACTGTCCGGCCGAATGTGTTGTTTAGTGACAAAATTGTAGGAAGATTGATGCTGTTGAGGCCGATCCAAGGCCGTTAGCCAGGGAGGTAATTAGCCACCTTGTGAAAGTAGATGGCTGATATTTTGATCTGGCATTGTTTGTTTGTTGTTGCCCGTAGCGAGCTCTAAAACAGTCCCAGGAGGATTCTGATTTAGGATGTTTTTGTATGTTAGCGACTCCGATTCCCAAACCGGGTCCAATTGTCTCCAGTTTCCTTTTGAGAGGTCATACCCTGAAGGATCCGGGCCCAGCCTTCACGTCATCGCCTGACACACATCAGCAGGAACGCCAGGAACGCCAAGAACAGGTAGAACACCAAGAACACCAAGAAGTCTGGGTTATCCTGCTCGCGTTCCAACGTTCAGGCACCCATTGGCTCTCACAGGAGCTGAAGCGGCATCCCTGCGTGCACATGGCGCCCGAGATCTTGTTTGCCCCTGGTCTGAAAGAATTCGGGTGGAATCCGTTGATGAGACGAGCCGTGATCAAGAAGTTTTTCGGCCTCCCCTTGTCACAGGATGAACGGCAGCAGAAGCTGCCCTCCACCGCACAAGAGTTCGCCAAGGAGTCTGACGCTGCGCTGCAGCGAGGCTGTGCTGTCCGCGGGTTTAACTGGAAGGTCAGTCAAGGATTTCTGCAGGACCTGCTGTGGATCAAGTCCTTCATTGCTCAGCATTTGGGCCAACGTTTGGTAACATGTTTCATGTTGCCCAAGACGAAAACGACGGTCAGGTTTTGTTTGGTTGAACAGCTTAATTAAGCTTTGTGCTTAGCACGCCTTTTTTGGTTGAACAGCTTAGCGATTTCCCGAGGCACAACGTGCGGATCATCTGGCTGCAGCGGCAAAACATGCTGCGGCGGTTCGTCTCCATGGAGTCCAATCGCCGAACCTCCGTGGCAGGAACAACCGATGCCAAGGAAGCGGATCGAGTGCGAAACGAGAGGGTCCCGGTCCGCATCAAGCAGCTTCTGAGGGACCTTAGTGATAGAGAAGCAGAGGTCAAGGAAATTGACACCTTCCTCCAAGTTCAAGAAGGGAAAGTCTTGCGGCTGGTCTATGAAAACCTCACGGACGTCAGCGGTGTGCTGGGATTTGCCTTGCAAGATTCTGGTTGCAAGGCACTTCCGCCACTTCAGTCACTTCAGTCACAGGCCTTGAAGCCCCAATTGCCGAGCTTTCAGAAGCTGCACACGGGTAGCCTTTCCAACTTGGTGGAGAATTGGAAGGAGGTCGAGGCGGCACTGCGACAAACCAGATGGGCATGGATGCTTCAGAACTAGCGGTGCGCGGCGCCGAGGCTTCTTCCGCCCAGCTGAGGGTCCTTTGGCACTTGACGTCCGGATTCTGTTTCGATCCAGGTATCCCGCCGATTGACAAAGACATCAAGCGGACAGTCCTATGAAAAGTTCGTCGGGGGCTGCCTGAGCAAGACAACTCCTCCCTTGGTTTTGCTTGTTTAAGCTAGGTTGAAGATTGATGGCAACTGAAAGTGGGACCCGAAGCTTTTGGTTTAACAGAACAATGAAGGACGCCTAGGACAAATGCAACATCCACGATTGCCAGTGTTCCGGGTCTGACAAATACGCACGGCATGTACACTTTGTATCCAGGAGTGTCAGAACAGAGCAGAGACACCGAGTGACATTGATTTCATGGCACACGCCCAGCATGGCGAGCCATGCACTAATTTGCCGTGCTTTCCATTGTAGCAGGGAGGGTAAGCCGTTTCCAAGGATCCTTCAGCGCAAAGCACAAGCTTGATTGCTTGCCGCTCAGACGTCAATCTAGGTTGTCTCAGAATGTTGTACCCTTACAACGACTGGTTTCTTTTTGCTTTGCCTAAACACCATGACAAAAAAGGGTCCCGCAAAAACAGACACCGCCACATCTCTCCATTGATTCTGTTGCAGTGTGCCAAGCTGGTTCATAACAAGCTGAACATACAAGAAGTCTTGCCCAGCCTTGCTGCCTCTTTGCAATGGATCCCTCCCTTTGGAAACATTGCTTGACACCCTTCCGCAAGGGAGACTGACATGATCTGAAGACGCCAACGGTGCCGAGGAAGAAGGAAACAGGCAGACTCCTTGTCGTATTTTTGTGCTCGATCAAGCCCGGCACCGTCGTTTTGGGGGGCGGACGGAGGACGGGAAGCAACATGCCGTTTCTCTCAGCTGTGTGTTTGAGGTTTGTGCACTTTCAATACCTTGGCAGATATGGCCATAATTTGGGAGAGTCCACAAGTGCCCCGTTGCCCACAAAGAGGGCAATTCAGCCTTTTGAACCACTAAACCACTTCAGTCAACTGTTGCTAAAACGGAGGAAACGACACGCCACTTTTGAATGAGGCTGTTCACTCCGATCACCCTTCGGCTGGTGGCTTTTGCAAATGTTCCGCAATGGCCTCACGGAGAGTCTTTGGAAGTAATGTGCAACAAGCATTGGTTGCTTTCCATTTGATTTTCCTTTTTCCAGATGAATGTGGGCTCTTGGACTCAGGTTTCTTGAGCTTCATAGAGCATAGGCATAGCTGTATTGTTTTAGGCGTGCCGAGACATGTGATTCGAGACACTAAGCGCTCTTTGGCGAACCCTTCGGGAACTTGGCCGAGTTGAAACTGAAGCGTGAGTCCTGCATCGTTTGTTGTTGCTGAGTGCATAGGCCAGAGAGGAGTCATTGACAACATTGGCAGTCGATTGTTGCTTTGACTTGGGGGGACACACCTCAATGCGTGCTCTCTGGGGAAACCGGTGATATTAGTGATATTGTCCGGGGGCTTGATAAGTCCTACCCCACGTCAACGGAAAAAGACCACATGAAGACTTCGCAAGGACTGCAAGACTAGCGCGCGGCAAGACTATGGGAAGATTACAGGAAGCCTCATGGAAGTTCGGTACGTCTACAATCGGGGCAAACTGATAGAAGAAGCAAGCATTGTCGCAAGTGAACAGCAAACTTGTGCGTTGTAATCCCAGGCGGCATTTGCTGCAGATGGCTCAGAATCTGGGCGCTGTGTGTCCTTTTGGTGTGTGAGAGAGATGTTGAGGGGTTGCGCCTGGTAGGTGTATGTTGGCGTATGGCGATCAATGCAAAGTTTGTCATCCCATTTACCAACACGAAGCGAACTTGTCCATCTTGTATGTCTGTGTTTCCTGAGGCTCAACCACGTGCTGAAGCCTGGGGTATGAGGTGTACGCACCGTCCCGCTTTGGGTGGCGCCCGTCCCTTTTGCTTCAAGAGCCTCGTGCAGAAACTTGGAGTCTTGGAGTCCAAGGGTGACTTTTGATCGAGGAGCTTGAGCGATGGGCAAAGCAAAGTACTGAACCCCAGAATAGCCTTCCTATCAAGGGCTAGCAGAAATCTCCAAAGCATGGGTAGGGATTCCCTTACCGCGGTTGGTGTGTTGCCCCTTTTGAAAATGACAGAGAGATCCTGGCTCGAGTTCCACGTGCACTCAGGAAGCATGAGTCGCGGTGCCAGGAATGCGCCGTATGCATTCAGGAGAAAACAGAGCGCAATGCTCACGCAAAAGTTTCGGTTGCTTTGAATGGCTTTGAATGACTGCAAGAGAGGCGCCATGAGCCACACACTGCCGCGGCAAGCCTGAATTCTAGCTCGGTTCTGGGTGTACGTTCGCACCGCCCAGGTCGCTGCCGTCACTGCCGTCACTGCAGCTTTGTACGGAGGTTCGCACTTGAGGTGAAGACCGGTTTGATTTCCACGCTTTGTGGTTTTCTATGGGCCTTGTGGCTCGAATGCTCAAAGGTTGCACGAGCTTTTGTAGGAACATGCAGGAACATAGGCTTTTTGCCGTAGGCAACGCTTGCCGGTCGCAGGATTCTGCAGCCAAAGTTTTGCTGTGAGCGGCAAGGCGCGCATGGGATGCGTGGGCTGCCCGGAAATGAGTGCGTGCGGTTCGGGCTTTGAACTCAGCCCTGAATCCATCCCATCCAAAGCGGGATGGAAGAGAAAGAGAAAGAGTTAGAAGAAAGAGTTAGAAAAGAGTATGGGAATGTTTAAAGAGAAAGAATGCTCAGGAATGTTTATGTTTAAAAGAATATACCTAGACTTAGGTATGTTCGGTATGTTATGTCGGGTTTCGGAGAGAGTCGAGTTCGGAGTCGAGGCGCGCGCGCAGCTCGCGCCGGCCCGGTGGCCCAGATGGCGCGAGAGCCTGCCCGGAAAAGGAAAAGAAGAAAAGGAAGGGGAAGGGAAGAGGAAGGCAAGAGGAAGGGAAGGGGAAGGGAAGAAGGGGAGAAAAAGACGAAAGAAGAAGGGAGAGGAGAAAAAGAAGAGAGGAAAAGAAGAGGAGAAAAGGAGAGAACGGAAGAAAGGGCAGAAAAGGAAAGAAATTCCGATCTGTGGTCAGTTTCTTCACCCATTGTTTTTCAGAAGCCCCAAGCTTTGCTTAGGTTTCGGGCCGTCTGAATTCTCATTTAGCAATCCGAGTTGCAATCCGAGTTGGCGCGGCATCTGGATGCGCGCCCCGCACGTGTGGCGTGGGTGGGCCTGCAGCAAAGCACGCGAGGCGCGAGCTGGGAGATCGGACTTGTTTGGGCAATCAGTGAGCTCACGTCAAGAAAAACAAGCTACCCATGATTCACTCCTTGCGTTTTTTTCACTGGCGAATGATTTCGATTTGCTCCAGGTTGTTGTGCTTGCCCCTTTATGGCAGTGGCTGACTTGAGGACAGCGCTGTATGTTCCAACGCCCTGCCCGTCGTTGTTTGCAAGAGGCAGACAAAGTCTGGCAGACGCGGGATCATACCACATCACATCATTGTGCCATGACATCCCTCATACAAGTCCCAGAACAAAATCGTTGTCCGGATTGACCATGTATCAAGTCAATCATTGCCTTCCAGAAGTTGGGTCGCTACGGGCCTGTTGATTGAGGTATTTTCTGATTTAAGGGCGTCAAAACCAGGGCCCCCCTTTCAGCATGCGGTTCCTTTGGATTTTGGATTTTAACAGATTCCCTTTCGTCTTGCGAGGGTGAGTACCAAGACGAGTTGCCGAAAGGTGTCCGCACTGCGCGGCGGCTCTTCGACTCAGGCAGGAATCACGTGCGTTTTGTATCACAAGGGTGTGACTCAAACATCGATGGCTCAAAAATTGATGGAACAAGCACGTGGAACCGGCCTAATCTTGCACCAGACAGTCTCCGGATCCGATCTGACAGCCAGGCAGCTTTTTCGGCGTGGGGGTCCCTGAAGCGCTGGTCATCGCCCTGCTTGGTTGGGTGGCCGAGAATAGACAGAGCGTCGCAGTTCGAAAGATGAGATGGGCGAAGACGAGCGTGCCATGATGTTGAGCATTGGTTGATGTTGGGTTCAATCATGTGGTTGATAGGATGTCAGACGTTGTAGTTAAGCTCTCTCCTTGGAACAAAGTACCGGGGAATTGCGATGCAAGAGCACGTGCTCTCCGGATACCAAACCAGGGACTCCATCTCTGTCAAGGTGCGCTTCTCAACCTCAGGCATAGGCTTCTTGGAAGGTGTTGCATTTCTGTTGCAGCGCAAAACGGCGCTGTAATTGCAGGCTTGCTTTGGGAACTGATCACGCAAAGTCGAGCAAAATCCAATCCTATTGCCTGAGCAATCCGCTTTTTCTGTGCTCCTCTTGAGGAAGTGGTTGAGGTTGGCGGATGTGTGCACCTGTTCCGCTGCCTGTGAACTGGCGCACTGTTCCACATCTTGCATGCACGTTGTCTACTGCAATTTGCACAGCGCCGGGCACTTTGGCCCTTGTTCTGCTCAGATTTCCGCACTCACTCTGCGCCGAGGCTGGTTTTTGTTGGGCCCTGAAGAGCTCTTCAAGATTTCCAAGAAGGACGGCGGGTGCAGATGATGGGGGTGCAGATGTCTGCCGCACAAATGTCGCAATGATCTGTTATGGGCCCTTAATCCTCTGACCTTCCACACCCAGTCATGCCCCACCCCATACACATAGGGAAATGGTCCAACCATCAGCTGCCTAGCTTGACCACCCAACTAGGTGGTCACGGTTGCTCCAGTCGCCTGGTGTTTCCGGAGCCGTCACTGTCAAACACGTTGGGTTTTTGCTCATTTCGCTCGCAGCGTGGCAGGCGTCAACGTGCAAAACTGCTTCGTTCGGCTAACTGCGCGGCAATTTCGCCAATGCCCCCAACAAAGCATTAGGCGAAGCAGTTCCCAAACTTCGTCTCCACACGAATTGGTAGGCTCTTTGTTTTAAATGAACATTAACATGGGAATTATTGTCACACCAACATTTGCGGCAAAGCTGCGGAGGCAAGACAGCTTGCAACCTTTCAACCGATTGAGTTCCATGAGCCTTGGACAACTTGAGACTTCTGACATCATCTACGTGTCTACAGAATTCTTTTCGTTGGTGGCTGACCTGATGAAAGTTCTTCACTTTCAGGATGCGAGCTGCCTTTGGCCAACACAATGCACCATCAGAATGAATGCCAGAAACACAACACGTTTTCTGACAGTTCAAGTCACTGGCCTGTACATCCCAGGACTCCACTGGGCCAGGGTCCTTTCCGAGCCGTGAAAAGAACTGCAGCGACGGAACGTAACTACCCCAACCCCCCACCCCGCCCCCAGTTGGACACGGTTGCACTGAGTCGATAGGGGGAGAAGTAGCGCTTGAGAAGAAAAGCAACAAAAGCAGTGCTTGATAGTTACCAGGCGACCTGCGCAACCGTGACCAACTAGGTTCCAGGAATCTAGTCAACCAGCCCGCAAGCTAGTTGTCTTGCTTGCTAGCTGGCTAGGCTAACCAGCCAACCAGCTATCTGTGGAGCTAGCTAAGTACTTATCTAATAAATTGGCTAACAAGTTAACTAGCTTGACATCACCCATGTGCGCGCTTCAGAAGAAAAGCGCAGAGACAGGAGTGCTGGCAATAGTTATTTCTGCTGCATGCTGCATGAGTGTGCAGCGCACCACGTCTGGTTTCCGTTGCAACATCGCGCCAGGCGAATGTGCAAGGCGAATCTATGAAACAGTCCATCTTGCAGAAAATGGCAATATTACTAGTAGATCCGGCGAAGCCGGTGGGCGGAAGTTTCAAACATATAAAAACTATAGTTCTCGTTCTCTTTCTTTTCTTGAATTTTTCTCTTTCTGTCTTTTATTTCTTTCGTTTGCTTGTCTATCTATCTTTCTCTACCCATCTATCTACCTAACTACCTATCTATCTATCTCTCGTGTTATCTATCTTTGCTTATCTCTCTATCTCTCTATCTATCTTCTCTATCTATCTATACATCTCTCTATCTATCTATATATCTACTTATCTCTCTATTTATCCATCTTTCTATCTATCCCTCTATCTCTCTCTCTCTATCTGTCTATCTATCTATCTACCTCTCTATCTATTATCTATTTTTTATATCTATCTAACTTTTTCATCTACTTATCTATCTATCTATCTATCTGTCTGTCTGTCTGTCTATCTATCTTCTGTTTGTTTATCTATCTATCTATTTATCTCTCTACCTCTCTTTTTTTGTATCTATCTCTCTATCTCTCTGGCTTTCTATTTCTTTCTCTATCTCTTTCTATTTATCTATTTATCTATCTATCTATCTATCTATCTATCTCTCCATCTATCTCCCGCGTATCTATCGACCTGTCTCTCTATCTGTCTATCTCTCTATGTATCCCTCTATCTACCTATCTATCTATACCTCTCTCTATCTGTCTATCTCTTTATCTGTCTATCTATCTATCTCTCTATCTCATTATCTCACGTGCATTTATCCATCTTTTTATCTCTCTATCTATTTGTCTATCTATCTCTATCTATCTAGCTATTTCTCTATCCATCTATCTACCTATCTATCTCTCTATCTCTCCATCTCTTTCTATCTACTTATCTCCATCTCTCTCTCTCTATCTATCTATCTATCTGTCTGTCTGTCTATCTATCTGTCTGTTTATGTATCCATTTATTGATTTCTCTATCTATCTCTTTCTCTGTCTGTCTATCTATCTCTCTATCTATTTATCTCTCTATCTCTCTTTCTTTCTATTTACATTTCTATCTATCTATCTATCTATCTATCTGTTTCTCTATCCATCTACCTATCTATCTGTTTCTCTGTCTCTTTTCCTATATGTTACCTATCTATTTCTGGGCCTGCGGCCTCTAGCCGGCTACGCCTCTTTGAAGTTATACCATGTCATGTCATGTTTTTTGCATGAGAAACGTAGCGTGTGCTATGATATGGCTGGTTAGGTTATGCATGTTGCCCACCTTAACCCCAGATAATGCCGGTGATGCCGGCTTTCTGGGCCCCATCCGGGCCCCAACCCAGAAGGCTGACATGGGGTCGCGCGCGCGCGCGCCAGAGGGCCCAAAAAAAGCAGCCCAAAAAGAGCAGCCCGCAAGCCAGGCCGGAAACGCCAAATGCAACAAAACACCGTAAATAGCAGCGATTTGTGGCTGGGGTCGCGCGCGCGCGCGCGTGCCAAAAGGCCCGAAAACCAACGCGAAAAAAGCAAGGACCGCGCAGCACGCGAGCCAGCCACAGCAAAAAGCAAACCGGACAGAACAACAGCCCACCGCTCAGCACGGCAGTTTTTGACGGTATTTACAGCGTTTTGTAGAGCGAGGACCCAGCATCGCCGGCATGCCCGGCAGCGCTTGGCGCCAAAATGCGCGCAAATGAGCCTCGCTTATATCCCTCCGATACCTTCTAAAAAACAGTGCTTTTTTGGGTTGAGAGGCTTTTTGGAAGGAAGTCCGGATGATGCAGACCAAGCCCCGCTGAAGCATCGCCCAGGCCCAACCCCACACCCTGATGATGTCAGCCACATGGCCTAAACCCTGCATATACGCGATGTTTTGCGAGGGTTCCCACAGGCAAGCAAAACCACAAGGCAGCGCATCACGACCAAGTGGCGAGGGTCGGCGGCACCAGGGTGCACCCCCTATAGCTAAAGCTAGCAGGCTAATTGCCTAGCGGCGACATGCTACCCCAAGGAGGCGTAGCCGGATTTACGCGCTGACGCGACACAGCCGGCCACCGGGCACCTTGCCCTGCCCGTTCCGTCACTTCCCTTTCCTGTAAGTCCGATGAGTAGATGTTAAGATTTCAAAATTCTAAAAACTTTGAGATTCTAAGGGTCTCAGATTTGAAGACTTTCGGAATTTAAGGTTTCAATGGTTGAAGAATTAAGGTTTTAAGATTCGAAGATTTAAGGCTTTTGAAGGTTATAACAGCCAGGCCATTGCCCAGCCATTTACCATCCATTATCAGATTTCGAAGGCTTTAAGATTTTATTTTTTGTGAGATTTTCAGATTTGGCGACTTTCGGAATTTAAGATTTTAAGATCTTAAGATGTCAAGACTTCAAAATTTGAAGATTAAGAGTTTAAGGAATTTAGAATAATATAGCCCGTATTGAAGGAATTTTATTATATTTTACTTGTTTATGAATTTAAGATTTTCAGACTGCAATAGTTCGAGATTTAAAGAATTTAAGTTTTTGAAGCTTTTAAGATTCTGAGATTTTAGGATTTTGAGAATTTAGGAATTTCATTTTTTATGATTTTAACATCTGAAGATTCAAAGACATGAGGGTTTCTGTCACGTCCCTTTCCTGTAAGTCCGATGAGTAGATGTTCAGATGTTGAAATTCTAAAAACTTTGAGATTCTAAGGGTCTCAGATTTGAAGACTTTCGGAATTTCAGGTTTCAATGGTTTAAGAATTAAGGTTCTAAGATTTCATATTTTAAGAGTTTAAGATCTCAAGATTCTAAGACATAAGGTTTTTAAGATTTCAAGATTCGAAGACTTTAGGAAGTTTTTATATTTTCAGATTTTAAGATTCTAAGTTCTAAGATTTTAAGATCTTGAGATTCTAAGATTGAGTGTTAGATTTTAGATTTAAGATTTTAAGATTTCAATCCAGGCCATTTTCCATCCATTTCCATCCACTTTAGATTTTAAGATTTTCAGGTTGCACGTTTTCGGCAAAATTGGCCCGACTTAGGGGACAGCATCCCCAGCATCCCCGCATCGCCAGCATGCATAACATCATCCGCATCATCCGGGATGATGCTGGCAATGCTGGGGGTGTTGTCCAGTATTAGGCACCCCCTAAAAATGCTCGTTTTTAAGCGCTGCGGGGAGATGCTACAAAAATCGCCGAAACCAATCCGCAAATCCTTCGCCCCTTATAAGGGCGGGCCCAGCGCAAAACCTACCTTCATGGTCCGCGCATGGTCGGCGGCATGGGGCGCGCGGCCTTATACCTGAAGGTAAGCCCTAACGGGCTTTGGCCTGCGGCCCGATCACGTCCGGTGGCCGGATTTAAGGGCTGCCGCCCAGTGCCGCCGACCCCTGGATTTACTCGTGGTTTTCGAGCACAAAAAGCAGTGCAATGTTTGATGCTTTTTTTGGTTTCACTGTAAACTTGAACCCCAGTAGCCGAGCCACAACTCTGCGTACTTGAGTGATGATCAGACCCCACCCCCTCCCCCTTCGGGATCTCACAGGGCTTCCTCGGTTTCTCTTTTTGGAGTCTTCAACACCAGTCAGTTGCAACTTTTCAGGGGAGTTGTGGAATGAGTGTCAGCCAGCCGGCTACTTCTTGCGCAGGGAATCTGGGTTTGTGAGCGTGGCTCTTTTACGAGGAAACCATACGTCACGTGAGCAACTTTCTGGCCGTGCATCGCGTCCGTCCTAGCGAAGAAGCAGCTGGAAACAGCGACGACGACGACGCTGACACAGTCCTGGATCTCAGCGTCGAAAACTTTCGCGAAGCCTTGGAGCCGCCCGCGCGAGAGATCGCGGCTGGCACGGAAAGCAAACTGGCGTCGGAGGAGCTGA